ATTAGGCTAGGAAGTTTGTTTTAAACAGCAGACACGCTACAGAACGGAGTGCGTCAAAACGAGTGTTTGTTAATGTTTAGTGATAAAGAATCATGAAACGTTGTAGAATAACTGACTTTTTTTCGTCCGCTGTTGCAAAGAAGAAAACGACAGATAGTCCTGGTGGGTTATTGATTAAATCAATTAGCCTAGCCTAGATGTTGACTAGCTAGGTTCGCTCCTTGTTCATTTAGATACAGAATTATACCCCGACGACAACAAAGTGTAGGCCTAGGCCTAAGTACAATAGAACGTACTACAGGTAGGCGTACTAGGCCTAGGCTTTTGTTGTAAAAGTTGAAGTGCATGTACAGGATGCGCCATAGGCCTATATTTAAAAAAATACATTTTGTTAATTATTATTGGTTGGCCTGGGACGGACCTAGGCAGGCAGGCCAGCTTTACCGTCGGAAGTCCTGGGATTCGACGATGACGTCCGTGCACGTTTACAAACGCCATTGATTAAAAAGATTATGAAAGAAAGAATTTATCGAACATTTATCTACATAAAAACAAGAATAATATTGTAGAAATTGTATTTCTAAAGATGCATGTAATTCATATTTTATTTTGTAGACAATAAATATTCAGTAAGATATACTAAAAACGATTATTAATTCTGAAATGTGCATCTCAGCTATTATTAATCAGTAGGCTATGTATTATGTTATAAAGTAAGGTGTTGGATGGACTTCTGATCGTGAGATCGACATCGGGAGTTCGAGACATGACGCCTGTCGCATTGCTTCTGTCCTTGGGCAAAGCAGTTTACTTACGTTGCCTCTCTCCACCTGGTAGGATGGTGTGGCATTGAATGTATTAAGTTGTGCCTGTAAAACAGGGTGATTTAGGGTACTCTCTAGGGCACAGGTGGACAAAGTGCGGCACGCCAGTGATTTTTTTGCGGCCCGCGAAAATAATTTACAAACACTTGTGTGCGGCCTGCCAACTGCCTTTTTTGGCTAGAAAACACGTTGTTTTTTTTGCGGCCTGGCATCGATCATCTGTAAAAAGTAAAGTAAAACTGAGCATAAAGTGACCATAAAACAGTGTATGAAGGTTTTTCAAACATCAATGTTTGGGTGAGGCCCTCGCTCAAAGTTGAATCAAATTTTCACTTACACTAATAAGAGAATTGAAAAATGCAAGTAAAAAAGAAACAGATTTATATTACATTGGCCTATACTGCGTAGGCCTGTATACAATGAAATATCGTTACATTTATTGTTGTTTAAACATCTTGAATAACAAGATATATGATGAAAATCAAAGGCGATGCTACTGGTATGAAAGAGATAACTCAAATAAACCAAGTTAAGTGAACTCTCTCTCACCGTCGGTATTGGCTCAAATAACCAACAGCCCCGTTTGAATATCTCAGCCACAAAGGAAGAAGGAACATATTCCAGTATTTTACTTATATCATTTTCATTAGGTGCCTGAAAATGTCGATATCTGTTTTGGTGGAAAAACAATCATTGACGTGTTGCTTAATGTTAGGCCTATGAATCACGCAAGCCACTATGACATTGATTTCGTAGTGACGGCAACAGTCCACAGAACAGTATATAAAATGAAATAGCAAAAATGGTTTAGTTTCAAAAAAACGTTCAGATTTACTTTTTATAGGTGGGAATTTTAAATAATTATTTGAATATTTAATAATTACTGTATATATATTTAAAAAAAAACCTATAATCTTTTTGTCATTGATTGATTTATTATTGAACTTTTTGTTTTATATTTACTTCTCTCTTATTATGTATCTTTCTATGTACTGTATGTTGTTTTGATTTTGTTTGTTGCTAAAGTTTGTATTTTAGTCTTGGAGATATTTTGATATGTGTTCTACACTTTTGGTTATCTTTGGAGGTTTTTTTTGTTGTACCGTACTCGCGGGAATAAATTTCAACTTGAACAGAACTAGAAAATGAAAATGGAGTAAATAAATAAAAAATAAATAAAAAGAGAGCAAAATATGCCGAAGCTTGACATCCGCCTAAAGCAACGCAGTGGAACTCAGAGCCCGTTCATTGATCTTATGTGACCCTAGGCTGTTTGCTCTCAAATAAATTAAGTGAATTTTCTATGGAATTAAAGAATCAAAATGAACATCATGTTGTTTTATAGCAGTTTATTCATTATACAGAACATTTTAAACCATGATGAAAGTATTGTCTTTTGTATCTTAATACGAATTACAGTTAAATCTTAGAAACATGAATAACAGGGAACGGCATTGTACTGCCATTGTGTTGCAACAAGAAAAGTGTTTAGAATACTGTGAGTTTGTATAAATGCCTGTGATTGCCAATATGTATAGGCCTACTGTACTGTAAACTAAAACTTCACAATATAAATTAAACATCCATTGAGTGATTTTAGAAGAACAACCGCGAAGCGAACATTGTCGGTGGAATGGAGGTCGCCCATAGTTTTGCAAGTCAAAACTACAAACTGGTTAAGCTGAATTCGAGCAATCATCGACATGTATTCCAAAATCTGTATCATTAACTATTCACACAAGTTTTTAGTCAAATACCATCCTTGTCTTAGAAAAATCAGTTGTACAACATATTTAAAAAATTATGCCCTCTGGAGCCTGATTTAACAACGTAGGGTATTTCATAGGGGTGTTCTGATATCTTTTGGTTCTGTAATTATGGTAGATTTAGTATTCAACCTAGTATTATAGGTGTATATTACCTAAAATAATCTTACAGGCCCTCTTCTTGATCCGCTCAATGCATGCGGGATCCTATAATGTGCAAGTCCGAGTGGGGACAAGGTCTACAGGAGGTACACCATTAGTGTTTAATGGCTCTTAAAATATATAATTTACTACTTGCCTTGACAATATTATAATCACCATGTAAATCCTATTGAGAATAGCTTGAAGAATAACTACAAGTACTTTAACATTGTCAACTGTTTTTAAAAAGTGGCCATTCAGATCAATAGATTGATGAAATAGTTACTTTTGCTAAAACTAATGTCCATAGTGCAACATTTATCATGTTAAATTTCAAAGCCTAATTATGTAGCACAGTCGCACAGTGCACACGATTGAAGTTCAGACGGATTCACAATTTTGCGATGCTCGATTAAACAAAGATCATCCAGGGAACAGTTAGAATAACTTAACGTTCTCTGCATCATCGACATATTTAAATTGTTTCGAAGGATTATATTTCACATTAACTCACCGATTAATATAAATTAGGACAGTGGAACTCAGAGTAACACTTCCATGCATCTGAAAAATAGAAACCACAAGTAACATAAAGTTCACCACAGGATTCATGGTTGATAAAAATGAAATGAAATACTTCAGTTTCAAAGGCAACGGATCAATAACCATGGTCCCCAGTCTACAGTAAACACACATACACACCCACACACACACACCCACACACACACACACACACACACACACCCACACATACAACTCCAGACATTGACTCACATTAACCAAATGGATCATAAAATGAAGATGATAACAGGCTTATGTTGTGTGGTAGCTGTATTATATTTTATTATTTGCATAAATGATTAAAGCCAACAGATATGTCAGATCTAAGGCATTAAGAAAGCTATTCAACCAAAAAATTTAGACAGAAGTTTCTGTTCAGTTCTCTCTTACAATGCAATGAATAAACAAAAATCATTAGTTACTGTCGGGTTTAGATATATTTTATAATAAAATAGATATTCCTTGCCTACACGACCTTACATGCCTCTCTCCATCGCTTATAACAGATATGTTCCCTTTACAATCAAAATTTCATCGTAAGCTTTAAAGTTGAGCGGCTGATTTCATTTAAGCTCAGTTCTACTAATTTATCTTACGTTGACATACATTTTATTGGGGAAATTTATTAATGCTATGCAACTCCCTCTCATCAGAACTCCAACTGGTTGACGCACCATTATTGTGGTTGCGATATTTAAATAAATCCGCATAAAATACAAAAGTATTATGTGTAAACAGCACATTAATGTAACAACGTCTATCATCGGGCTTCTTAAGAGTATCAATTATTATCCAACATAAAATTCAAATCTAACATAAGAAGTTTACACAATTGATAAATATAACTCTCGGTTCAGAAACAAAATTGAACGAGAGTTGATTCTAATCCTTGACTTTCCGGTTGAGAGCCGAATTATATGCACTCTTTTTCGCCATTGCATATCATTATTAGGGAGCTTTTGATTGCACGACGACGGTAGGACGTAGAACGTAATGACGTCACTTAAAGTCAAGGAGTTTTAGATATGCGACGACGAGTAATCTAGGACGATATGCTAATTATCTATGACGTATTACAATGTTGGCCACACAGATGATAAGGGCTTGTTTTAGTTTTGCGACGACGATGCAAATACATACGTCACCACCGGACATGCTTGAGTGAATTGAAAATAAACACTGTACTAATATTAAATGCCATATTAAATAGGCATATAGGCCTAGGCCTGCCCTTACTACAGGTAATAAATATTATACTATAGGCCTATGGCCTAGGCTTTTGTGGGGTTAGGTTTATACTGTGTAGGCCTAGGCCTAGCTAGGTTAATGATCCAAAGTACAGTACATACAAGCATATCCTTCAATTGTAAAAACAATATTAATCATACTTATATTCTTTCAAATTCTATGTCAAACATATCCATGAATCCTTCAATGTAAAAATAAATCCAAAGCTTCCTTTTATAAATAAAACTGTAAAGTTTTGAACTACTGTAGCATACATACTGTAC